CAATCCTCGGAATGGGTATTTATTTTTCTCCGAGCGATTGACTTTTTGCGATTGGATCCAATAAAAACTAATTGCAAAAATAATTTTACAACAACCTTCATTTCGCATCGAAAACGAGTTTGTTTTTTTTAAAAAAAAAAAAAAAAAAAAAACGTGTAATTTGTATTTGTTAGGAACATTTTAAGCGATTTTAGAAAACTAGTTAGACACTCCTATAGGAAACCTTTTTAAATGTTAATGCAATTTTTCGTATATTTTAACAGGGCTCTACCTTGAAGAAATGTATATTCAACCGATGGAAGTTATGATGCTTGGAATAAAAATTTACTTACCACAAAATCAAGCAAATAATATATATTTACGTCCAAAAATATGCAGTACATGATTATACAAATAAGAGTATTTGCACCAGTCAGAGGTATGGTTATAAGTCTGCCAAAAGTGTGGTTGGATCAACTATACCTCTGGAGAGGGCTACCACTCATATATCTGGCGCCAAAATCAGTTAGGATTATATAGTTGCGATTTATATACTTTTTAATATTGCAAAATATTTAAGGTTCATTCATCCTTAATATCAGGTGAGTGTCTACGACAGACCATCAGGAATGCTTACTAAAAAATCAAACATAACGATGAACAGGTTACCGTGTATCGGAGCAGTACGTGAGGATCAAGAACATAAAATTTTGAGTAGAGTTACGCACTGAAAAAAAATTCTCGGCGTTTTTACCAAGGTCCGTTGGTACCTTTACCATCTCACTCTTTTTACCAATCATCGGTAAGTTTACCAGGACAGACTGGTAAGCTTACCTAAAAACCGGTATTTTTACTGTTTTTTTCAGGTAAGAATACCACTTTTATTGGTAATCAACTCCCGGTAACTTTGCCATTTTATCTTGGTAATTCCACCACAGTCGATAAAAAATATTGGCTTTTTTACCAAGGCTCAGTAAAATTACCGAGAAAGTTCAATAATTTTACCGAGATTTCTCGGTAAAATTACCAATTCCATAAATGGTACTTTTACCAAGAAAAAACTGGGATCAAATAGAACCTTGTATTCTTGGTAATTTTACCCTTTTCTTAGTAAATACACCGATATTTTCTTTTCAGTGCGTCGTTTTTGCTGAAGGCGGCAGAGCCGGTAACCTATTTCCCTCGCTACGAGAGCAAAAAAGCGAACGACATAAAAAAAAGCTTGGCGAACACCCTGTGGCCGTGTGCGTGGAAAGAAAATATTCATACGTGGGAAGCCCCGCGAGTAAATTGTTGGAACGGAAGATGTGAATAATTCCTTGCAGGGATTCCGAAGGAGATAAGGGGAAGCGAAAGGCGGGGGTTCCAGCCGCGCCCTATCCCTGCCGCGCCTCCCTCGCGGCGGAGATCCAGTACGCAGCATCCCAGCATCCCTTAACTCCGACGTCCCTGTCAGCGTTTACAAATCTTCCGAGCGGGTCTATTTGCTTATTTACTTGACCATCGCGAATAGTGAGTCACGCTCCGGGATCCCTTCGAAACCATTTTGTTGTGTGCGTGATGTGCTCGTTTGCAGGTAAGAAACAACCCTTCTGTTCACACTGAAAAAAAGTGAAGTTGATTTAACATTCAGGATGTAAAGAAAGTGTGTAAGAACTCACAAAATGCTGAATTAACTCCTACAACAGTAATTTTAGCAATGTTAGGATGTAAAACTAATTGCTGTAGTGGATAATTTAGCATTTTGTGAGTTCTTGCACACTTTTTTATATCCAGAATGTTAAATCAACTTCACTTTTTTTCGGTGCACCGATTCGGGTGCGCGATTCTCGAATTTCTTGTGTATTTGCCCGCGTGAAACGGAGGGGTGAGTGTAGCAAGTTGAGCTTTTTCGGTTCTTTGTTGATCGGGTTCGACGCGTTTGACCATTTTACTCGGCGTTGTCTCGTTATAGTTTGTTGTTAATTAATAAAGCTAGGATTTTGGCCATTTTTTTTCAGTTTATTTTTGTAACCTTGTATTCACTGAATCACGCGTATTTATGTACGGTTAAAGGGTTGCGCGATCTACTCATCCTTTCTGTGGACTGTCCGCCATTTTGAATGGCAGGAAAACATTCGGTTTTCCCACGATCGGTGCTTTGATTTCCCGATTTTTCAAATCTCTGTTTAAGATGTGTTCATGACTTAGTCAACTTTATCCGCTTGCCCTACGTCTAAAATTCACGGCTAAGAAAAACACGGTTTATGTATTATCTCCGTCCTGTTTTTAAAATAATCTATTTTTATTTTATTTTGTCCTTGCGCTCTACAGAGTGGAATACTTTGTACACCACTAAATTTAAAATGTTTAAGGATAAGACTAATACATTTGGGCTTCAGAATTATATTTTGAAGTACTTAATACACCGAGTTTACGTATAATCTCTTTTCCCCGCTATTAATACTTAAATATTCGCTTCAACTCATAACATATTTCTTAAATAAGAACATTAATTTCTGCCTATTTAAACAAAGAAAAACATAGTTATACCAGAAATTCTCTAATTTCGATGTTTTTATATCAAGTCAGACCATAAATTTGGTAAAATAAATTTTGAATTTTTGCTGCTGCCAAATTGAACCCAAGTATAGCTTATTTTCATCGTTACAGGATTAAAATATTTAGTTCGGAAAATATCGTTTTATAATAGAATAAGGCATTGTCCTATCTTTCGATAGCTAACTTAGCCTATATTTTCATTATATTTATATTATAATTTTTATTGGTGGACTGTTTTTTTCAAACTTACAACTATATAACATTGTGGAATTAAGCTTTCTAAAGTCTCAAAATTCATTAAATACATTGAAAAGAATGCTTCATGCATCGTTGACACTGTTGAAACGGGAAGATGAGATCGGAAAAATTGAATTCCATTGAATTTATCAAATAAAGTTGGCCAGAAATTTCATCCAAATTTCTTAAGTCTTAAAAAATCCGAAGTTATAGATCCCACACAAAATTTTTGGCATGACGATGGAGTTTCGAAACAGTTAGCCGATGACAAAAAACGGCTAGATTATGATGCTTTTTTGCCATATGGTGTTTGCATTTATTCGTAACCTGAGCTTAAATTATTCAAAAAACAGCTATACTAGATTATATGATGCTTCTTTTGCCGTTTTTTTTCGTTTCTTCGCAACTCAAGCTTAAATGATTCAAATAACAATTTTGCGTTGAAGCCGTACGTTTCTCTGCAAGCGTGGACTACGATCTAATACATACTTTCTAAGAGTGATAAGCATCAAGCATTCCACTGTTTGAATGAGGGAAAATATTATATTAACCCTCAATGCCGAAAAAAAGTTTTGCTGACGCATTTTTTACGATAAATACTCACGGCAAGGATGAAAAATTACGGAAGGATGCGACTTTGCTGGTTAAAAAAGCTGTTGATTGCCCTTAATAATGGAGCGATAAAAACAGTTAAGACCAAATTTAGTACACAGATTCTTAGTTTACATTTAAATAGTTTTATGAATTTCTATACAGTTTCATGCGTCTATTTAGCATTGCGTTATTATTAAAAGACGTAAGACGAAGACATCGGTAGTAGAAAATCTCGACTGTTCTATAAAAAATGTTAAAGTTTTTTAACGCAGCCACACTAATAATTTTTGACAAATTCGATCAAAAAAGGTATTAATATGCGGTTAATTTTGAAGCCAATCCTGATGTTGTCTCTGTTAACGTGTGCGTTCAAAGAACCAAAAAAACTGAGATCAAGGCCTTTTATTTATTTATTTTTTTTTTCTTGGAAGGGGGGAGGGGCTGTGTTAAATACAGCCCCGTTTCGGAGCGGTTTATCGATGAGACAATCAATATCAATGCTTGGGTTTTACAATTTGCATCATCGTCTCAATGAATGTTGCTTCTAAGAGGGGCTTGTTTCTGAGTTGACATTCGAGCTATCGATAGATCTGACTTGCTCTCAGAAAAGTTACACTTAGTCCGAGACTGGTCTCACAAATTAGCACAAAGCAGATTCAAATTGGACGCATTTCTGTCAAAAGGAACTACGTCTCCCGAAAACCCTATGCACATCGTTCCTTTTACCATAAATGCGTCCAATTTTCCCATTGTGGATGTACTGTGCCCGTCGTCTTTTAATTTTCTCCACGCAGGAAAAGGAATTATAAATATATTTTCACGATTTAAAAAGAATTGCTAATTTCTATGAAGAAACGAATCTGTTCTAGATTTATTTAATTATTATGAAAGCATTGTAATGCATTATCCAGGCATTAAATTGTCATAAATTATAATATTTCGTTCCCGCGTTATGAGGATTAAATCGAGTCAGTTTTCACTCTACTTTCAAGGCAAATTTTACTATATTTAGATTCATTCGACTTTAAGTGGCTCTAAATGAATCTCATTAGCTCTGAATCCAAAAGTTAAGTGAATCGACTTATTTTCAATGTAGGAATAAAGTAGCATTATATTAGAAAAGTACATCCTATTTCTGTTCTTGTAGTTATCCCCAAACGAATTGTGTAATCCTCGTAAGTTTAGAAATTGCCTTTTTGTGTGTTCCTTGAGGACGTGTATCAGCCTCATGGTCCTTTCTTGATTGCATTGAAAACAGTCCGAATGCCGACAAGCCGACTCTTATTGGAATTTTTGGGTTTGTCCATATTGCACACAAGAATAATTTGTATCGTGCAAATATGATCGGTTCATCGTAGGTTGATCGGATTTTTTTCGAACCTCTATCAGTATTTGACTAATTGTTGGTCATCAAAAAGATATGAAAGGCCCGAAAAATTCTTAGAATGACTTTTGCGACTGACCGATCACATTCATTTGCCTTGATTCTGTCTCGGTCAATAGAGGAACGCAAGATTCCAAAAAACGGCCGCAAGTTAGCCAATAATCAGGCTTAAAACTGTTAGATTTTTTCAATTTCCTCCAAGTGATATTTTGAACATAAACATCCAATAGCTAAAATTTAATAGTTAATCATTTTTCTGTTGCAGAAGAACTAAGTACTCGGTTTTGAAAAGAATATACTTGACTGCAATTCACTGAAACACTTGACTACAGTTCCGGAGAACAATTTTTCTTCAAGAGTATCTTGATTCACAGTTTGTTGTAATCGACTTCAGGTCCTTGGGAAACTCAAACCAAGGTGGCAGGTGAGCACGTGATATTAAAGTCGGAAAAGAGGGAATAGAAGAAGAAATATATCAATAAATATTTGAATTCAGCCTTCAATTCAAGTTTTTTTTTTACTTCTAAATGTGCTAGAATGTTCAAAAAAATTACTAGCGCAGTTAAAACACTTGCGCTTGTACTTTAATAGCACAATGTACATTCAGAGTTTAGGGGGGTCGGGAAAAACGTACCTTCATATGAATGAAGTAACATGAAAAGTATAAGCATAACCCTGGTAAAAATTGGCGATAAGAGCTGCGTTTCAAAATACCATAAGAATTCTTATAGCCGGCTAAAGAAAGCTACAGAAAATCATATAGCTGGCTGTAGAATGCGGAGAAAATCACATGGCCGGGCTATAAGAGGGGATAAAAAATTATGCAGCCGAACCATAGTTCCTATCGCCGGGCTTTACACTTTATCGCCTGGTTGTTGCTTTTTCGCCATCGATTATAAAAGGCTATAAGAAATCGTGTAGAAATTCGTGTGATTTGGAAATCATTAAGTTTGATACGAAGCCACCTTAATACTTACAAAACACACATTATATTTTCCTTTAATACATATATTTTTTCATCAATTAAAATGAGAATAATCCATACAGAGTGTGCAAACATTTCAAAATCATGAGTTGAATAACGCTGACTCCACCAGATTAAATATTAAAGCCTAACACAAAGCGGAGCGGCGACGCACTGGCGCCTACAAACCTAACAGGGATACTTCACGCATTGCGCAACGCGTGAAGTATCCCTGTTAGGTTTGTAGGCGCCAATGCGTGTTTCGCGCTGGCTGCCCGCCTGCCACGGCGCTTGAAGCAACTATTTCACACCGGAGCTATTGCACAGTATCATACGAAACTGAGGGCGCTCTAATATATTAGTAATGGCAGGCATCCATCAAAAGTACGGAGCTTTCCTCGCAAAATAAATCAAGATACTACGGCCCAAAAAGAGAGCAGTATTCCAAAAACTCACCAAGTCCTAGCATCCGTAATTAGTAACATTTAGCATACACTTTATCGCCTGGCTGTTGCTTAATCGCCATCGCCTATAAAAGGCTATAAGAAATTGTGTAGCCGGCTATAGAAGCTATTGGAAATCTTACAGCCGGCTGTAAGCTGAAATTCAACGTAATAAAGGCCTGGTTTTTTTAAAGAGAAAACATCGCATTCGATACTGATATCGAAACTGCTCTCGAATGCGATATTTTCTCTCTAAAAAAAGCACGCCTTTATTACGTTGAATTTCTTGGTCACAATTGGTAAGTGAGCGCTTTAGTCTCCTGACAAAAGAATTGCGATCTCAAAATTGGAGAAAAATGACGAGTAGCTGAAAAAATGGTACCAATTGATGCGATATATCGCATGCCGTTCTGACACAAAATATGGCGTCAATCGAATCACCTTAAGCGCATAGTCTTTTAAGCATAGAGTGGATTCACTATCCTTAACAGATTATTCCAGACTGACTCTTTGTACTCAGCATTGTATCGTTCAATCGGTTCAGCGAAATAAATTGATGAAATTGATCGACGAGTAATGTGCGATTTTTACAGAATTGAAACAAACCATTTGAAATTCGACGACCAAACATTTTGTCTAGTCAAAATAAGTCAACTAACAGAGAGTACAATGGTCAAAATCAGTAACCACTGTTATAACTTAATTAGTGTGATCATTACCCATAACTAAAATTTGTACGTGTATGCTTTCAGAATCGGCTTCGCTTCAAACCGCCGGTACATTTGTTCACGTGAAGTTTTTGAGGCAATAGTACTATACGGTAAGTGCGTTCCTAAAAGTATGATATCGTGCAGCACGTTAGTTATATCCAGGTTCGTACCATTGATGTTGATTTATACTGCTGAAAGAGAATTTAATTCTATGTGAAGGAGCTCATTTTCATTCTTGAAATCCGTTCGTAAAATTCAAAAATCTAGTTTTAATTCAGCTTATGAATATATTAAGTGCGCTGAAACTTCGATTGAGAAGTTTTACCTTTTATCAATTTCAATTTTTATAAACACTGGGAAAAAAAAAACACATTGGATCTAGAGTCCAGAGTCTTAAAAACATCGACAAGAATAAGTACCTACTCTTGTTTCAATCAGAGTCTAGCTTAAATCAAGAATCAAGACTCTTAATTTAAGCGGATTTTGTTTTGATTCAAGCAAAAATCCCATTGAATCAAGAGTATTTTTTCTTGTCAATGTTTTCAAGAGTCTGGACTCTAGATCCAATAAGTTTTTTTTCCAGTGAATTAATCCAAAAATGCGTCAAAAATCACGAGAGAGCACTATTTCTATCATTGCGTATGAGAGTCATGAAACTCTACCATTATCTCTAAAATCGTCACTGTATAATAAACTATGTTCTTTTCCTTCATTATGAAAAATTACGATATCCATTACGGTTTGACAATATATTAATGACTACTTCTATTCTAGCTGATCTTATAATAATGAAATAATAGAAGATCTGGTCGTTAATTGCAGTAACTTAAAGATCGAACTGCAGGGCACAAAAAAATGTGACATCGAGTCCCTGCCAACGATCTGGGAAAGGGTAGCTCAAGCGTATTTTTGGGATTTGTCAAAAATTACTTCAAAAATCATAAAGTGCCTTTCTCGTGCGATAGAGCAGTTGCACGATGCACTTGTCGGGAATTTGCGATGTGAGCACTGATTCTCGGGTGAAATTGCGTGGATGGTGCGACTGGTTCTCTCTAAGATCAACTCCAAAGCTCAAAAAAGCTCTCAAAGTTGAGGCTGTAATGGAGGGATATCCCACGCTATCCTGAAAGTCCATCTCTATATATCAAGGCAAAGTCTCTATGTTAAGATAGGGATCAAATACATTAACAGGGTTGCCACTCTATTTGAAGACTCCAAAACTGAAAACAAGGCGACCCTGCTAATGTATTTGCTCCCTATCTTTGCATGGAGAGTTTGACTAGATATAGAGGTGGACTCTGAGGGTAGCGTGGGATACCCTTTATTTTGGCCTCAACTTTGAGAATTTGAGTTTGAATTTGAGTTTTGAGCTTCGGAGTTGATTTCAGAGAAAACCTGTTGCACCATCGTGTTTCTCGCGAAATTTTACGTAGGTTACGTAAGTACGGAAATCGCTAATCCCACGCATGCAAGAGCTCCATTATTATTACTCATAAGGCTGAACACTCTTAAATGATCACCACTTAGCTTTTTCAATTTGATCTGGAAATGGTATTGATGTTACGTTTCTTACGATCCCTCAGTTACCTATCTCTTTACAGTGACCTTATATTTTGACCCTTCTCAGTATGAAGTCTCAGAATCTAAATTGGACTGTGTTATGTAGAAAAGAACCAAGCCACATCAGCTATTGCCGAATTTAATCGGACAATTTAATTTTTTACATGAAAACGGCTGTGCAGATTTTTCTCTAAAATTTCTGTGCAGTACGAAGCAAATTTCTTACAATTTTCAAAGGAATTCGCACAGACTTACTCTTGTAAAAAATTAAATTGCCCAGTTAAATTTGGTCTTGATAACTGATGTGGCTCGGTTTCTTTCTGCTTAATGCGGTCCAATTAATTATGACTAAAAAAATATTTACTAATTTTCTGCCAGAGGCCAAGATTGAATGGAAATAATTTAACTGAGGCTGAAATTTCGTGCTTTGAAACTGGCTGACCGCTTCCAACGGAAATGCGGATATGTAAACCAATGGTATGTAAACGGATAGGGTTAAAAAATAAAGCAGAGCAGATTTAGATTTATAAGTGAAAGGCAAGAAAAAAAATTGCAAGAGACTTCTAAAACTTCAGTTCCATTTTTCATGTAACCAAAGAGAAGATGAAATTGAAATTGTAACCACCTTTTGCTGGCATCAAAGATGGAATCATCGTGGAATATTATGTACACCGATTTTTCACTATGTTGACATGCAGTCGCACTTTATATCATTTCAGCCGAAGCTACTACTTTTCCCAATTATGCTCTGCGGAAATAGTGTATTTTTTCTTGCGAATTTTGCATGAGAAACTCTGTGAAGCATGCCAACTGGAACACACTCGTGTTTCAAGACTCAAGCGAGCAACTAAATGCGTGTTTCAGAGATATTATACAATGCGGCTGTAGGTTTTGATTCTGATTCTAAAAGTCTCTATGACGCCAGGAAAATCACTCATTTTAGTCACAGTATTTTAAAATCTGAAAAGCATAATTTGACAAACTAACAGAAAATACTAAAACATGCGTGTTTCACATTTCATTTGAAAGTTTTACTCACTCACTTCGAATCGACGAGAAAAAAATGACATGGTTTCCATAGGTGAAAATAAAATTCAGGCCAAATGAAGATGATATTTTATTTCTTGGGATGAAAAGAGCAAACTCAATCATAACCTTGCCAGATAGAGAGTAAGACGAGACTAAACTATGATTAACTAGTTACTTTTGTAACAAGGAGGAGAAATGGTGCTGGGTCCACACCATTCGCAGGGAAACAAAGCCAAGAAATTCCAAAAATTAAAATTAGAGTCAAAATTAATTTTTGGAATTTCTGGGCTTTGTTTCCCTGCAAAATGGTGTGGACCCAGCACCATTTCTCCACCTTGTTACAAAGAGTTCGGGCCACTTCTTATTGTGTTTTTTTCACTAGTTAATTTTGTTAATTTTCTTTCCAATTTCAGGCACGGACGAGGATACGTTTCTTACTCCAAAAATGCAGCATTCTAACCTCAGCACCCAAGCTCGGATGTTAAAATTGGTGCAGTGCGGCTACTTTAGTGTTTCAACCGACTTCATTCTCGTTTCCTTCGTTCGCACAACATGAGAAATATTCGATCCACCTTCTTGGGGCACATCCACAGAAACATCTTAGAACGTATGCGAGGCGGAGAAATACGTCTGAAAAACGTGTCAAGAAGGATCTGCGCTACGAATTAACATGAATTCTAAGCACATTCGTGATCTACCCTGTAGATCCGGGCTTTTGTAGAATATCTAAGTATCAGAAGCTCGTCTCTACAGGTATCTTACGGATGGGAGACGAATCATCTAATTTTCACCAGATCGTTCCGTCATGACCAGTCTCCTCTGCTTATCACGTCACCTCTCTCGTCATGCTGTCACCTTGGCTGTGAGAAAGCGAAGAAAACATCGGAGGGATTTTTCTCTGGGTTCTGATTAAACCTGTGAATTTCATTCTAAATTGCATCGTCAGTGGAAAAATATTATTTGTATCAGAGAGCCAAAGTTTTTAGTATCTCCATAGGATTTATCAATTTGTATCTATTTTATTCTATTTATGTGTCTGATACGATAATGGCTAGACAAACAGAGCTGATGCCTTGGTCGAAGGAGGAAGGAGAAGATATTCGGGTCGAAAAATCGGACTTAGATAATTCTATGAAAAACTGTCTAAGAAAACAAGTTTAGATCATTTTGGTATCAGTGGATGACCATAAGCGTAGCCAGGTTATCTTGCTGAGGAGGACCTGACCCTCCTATTACTTGGGAATTTTGGGTGGTATGATATCCCTCTCAGTCCAAGCACTGGAAAAAAAACACATTAGATCTAGAGTCCAGACTCTTAAAAACATCAACAAGAAAAAGAACTCTTGATTCCATCAGAATCTAGCTTAAATCAAGAACCAAGCCTCTTAATTTAAGCGGATTTCGTTTTGATTCAAGCAAAAATCTGATTGAATCAAGAGTATTTTTTCTTATCAATGTTTTCAAGAGTCTGGACTCTAGATCCAATGTGTTTTTTTTCCAGTGAAGGAAGGTCCGCGGGGAATCCTTCGGCAAAGTTTTAAAATTGTATCTATCTTTGAACGCAATTCACGGCTCTTCTGGCGTAAATTTTCCATTAATTTCTGCAAAAAAAATACACTTCTGAAATTGGTTGCACGTTCTTACTGAAAACAAGCACGGTAAAACTTCCACAAGAGGCACTCTCTGCGGGAAACTTTGGAAACATGCTAACTAGCCCCTTTAATTCGACTGAAGGCTTCTTCTTATGTGCCACTGCGACTTATCACTGGGACACTTATGCCTGACGAAGGATTTTTTCCACCATCCAGAATCTCTGGAGAGGACCAGATGATACTGCGGGGGGCACTCCCCGACCCCCCCCCCCCCAAAAAAAAAAAAAATCTAGCTACGCTTATGTAAATTGGATTAAAGACCGATCGTCATGTGCCCTGAACATGGCAGAATAGAATTTCACATTTTCTTCAAACAACGTTTTCTGAACTGCAAACTTCAAACCATTTTAATTCCGGTCGAGTTTGACATTTTTGGGCGTTTGTCCCCGAATATTTGTGGAGTCCCTTTATGCCCTTATCTCCTGTGGAATTAAAGTTCAATTTTGAATTTTCGTCGTACAATTATTATTTTCTTGTGGATGATCACAAATGTAAATTTTATATGTAGAAATTAATGGATGAATTTTGACCAATGACGTTCTTAGAACCGAGCTGACTACCTGCGGTTCAAAAATTAAGGGGTTTTCCTAATACTGAATCCTTCATTCAACGATAAATGTCGTTTTTTATCGCACTTCTAGGACAACAATCACAATCTTAGCAATTTTTAAAGGTATATGTTTTATATTAATGATAAAATCTCCTCAAATGCGATAACGTAGTGATGATTTTGTAATTCATATTTACGTACATTTAGTATCAAATGAACCCTACTGAAACACTTAAACCATAGTAGTGCCATTTGTCAAAATGGGTACATGCATTTCTCAATTTCTTGGTTAAACTATCATTCTTCCTGTATTCATACCAGTGGCACGTTGTGCTAGAATTACATATCAATATGTTCCAATTTTTATCTAAATCTGTTTAGTAGATTCGGGAAATATTATTTTCTATAATGACTCATATGCCAAAATCTGAGAAATTGCAGGGATTAGAATGAAATGGAGATTTTTTCCGGTAAAAAGGCATTTGCGAATTCCAATGCTGCTGAGATTGTGGAACGTATTCTCTAGTTGTAAGCACTTATCCAAAAGTTCTACTATGAATTTTCCCCCGGATCTGCTCCAAGTTTTTCCTGTTAATGAATTTCCGCATTCTACCGCAAACGCTATAAAAAATTGCACAATATTAGCAGCATAGCAAGACTCACACGCCGTTTTACCGGAAAAGTCCTCAATTATAGCTTATTAGCATTGCAATTTTTTGCAGGGACTTTAAGCTTTCTAAAAACGCAAACGCTCTTCAACGCTTGAAGCAATGCCTCCCGATTTTAATTTGTCAATTAATATTTTCAAGGAGTCCATAAATAAGATCATGCGTGATTTTTTTTTTTTTAATTTCTAGGGTACATTTTCAACATCTATGTGAAAACATGTTTAGACGTTGTTAACAGGAACAGAAAATGATTGACCATGCTTAGCGTTTTCAGCATGTTTTTAAAATCGAAACAATTAATCAAATTGTTTGAATATAACCTTCAGAGAATGTGATACAGGCATAAGAGCATAAAACATGCCTTGCGTCTTTCAATATTTTTCTGGTGAAAGGTACATGTTTCCAGAAAAAAATGAACTTAGAGAGATAATTTTTTCCTCGAAATACTGTCTTCATTTTTATGACTTTAATTTTTCTTAAATAACCTGTAGAAAGTGACTGCAGAAAGTCTCTCTGTTTGGTGCAATATCAATTAAGACGCCTCATGAAAAAATCAATTGTAATTTTTTAAGACTGTAACCCTGTTCCTCACAAATTATTTTGAAGTGGATTGGATGATTTTAATACGTTTGATTTCATAATGATTGTAAAAAATTTCAAGGCATAATCCTTGAGTATCTCCTTAGTGTACATTCTAAAATTAATATAGTTACAAGTAAAAAGTGACGAGTGAATACTTTTTTCAGACTCCCATAAGGGTATATTTATACATATTATTTGCATAGGCTTTTTTTAATTAATAGTAATTTGACTGATTAGTGCAAATACATTATTATTGTTATGAAAAATAAATTAATGAAAAATACGCAGAGTTTCACTTAAAAACTTCGCAACTTTATATGTTATACAAACTCCTTTCGTTCGTATTTTTATTTTTGTACAAAAATGTGATGTGTTTCTCCTTCTTTAAGACGCTTGATTTTGACAATTATATGAAAGGTTAAACATCTTTTAAGTAAATAATCATCTTTAAGGTTTAATAACCCATTCGAATTTGGCTTAGGTCAATGAACTGATCCGTAATATATTTGCAGAATGTAAAAACATTGAAAAAAAGAAAAAAAGGAATCTCCAACAAGAATATTCTTCAGAGAATCATCTTGGCCACTGAATGAAGAAACAATGCGCTTCTTTAAAATAACATAGCATTTCCACGAATTAGCAGTAACATATCAATGTTGAGTATTGAAAAAGACTCATCTTAACTAACAATATTCCAGATTGTTGTCAGGTTTCTTTTGCCCAAGAGGAAACCAGCGAAAATTGTTTCGAATTTTCACTAATTTCTTCTTGTCTAGAGACAAAAAGAGACTTTCCACTACCTTCTTAGCGACAAGTGGGAAGGTATACTTTCGGGGATGCATCACTGCGTCATGAAAAATTAGATGGGAGCAACAGGCATCTTACAATTCTCACATACTAGGTAGTTGATCAGCTTCAGGTGACGTCATGATCCAAAAAAGGTTACCGAGCTATGGTTTTTTTTTTTTCAAAAGTATAGACTCAACACGTTGTTAAGCATCCACTTACTATGTAGATAAAAAGTTGATCGTTGAAGTCCCGAAAGTAAAAGCTTCCACCATTGCGAAAAAACCAATGGAGAGTCTCTCTTTGTTTCTGGCTAAAAATTACTTAAGTGTCCATCATCTTTAGTCTACTTTAAAGACCGCGGTGTTTTGGGTCTTTTCTTTTTTGCAGACCTGTCTCATTCCTCTAATCAGTGAAAAATGAGTGCTTACGATATTCTTTAAATTTGTAACCAACTCAGTTAACATGGGTGTTTTTTCATGTTTTTAGGCGGAAACTAAAAGACTAACGTGCTATAACCCTCAAATTTTTTGGATAAAAAAAAACTCCCCTTCAATGAGACACGTTATGAATAGTTTCCTTCCAAATTTTTGAAGAAGTTTGTTCATAATTTGATCTAAATCAACTGAAACTATCAAAGAAAAATAAGTATAGGTTTCCTAAAAATAGCACTTTTTTGAAACACTTGGCAACATTTGCATGCTTACAGGGTACTTTTCCTTGGAGTGGTTGTGCGTGTCTGTCAATTTGTTGATAATTCCTTACATGTACTTACGTGATAGGTCCTGACGAAGGAGCATTCAGAATACAGCCACACGATAGATGCAACTTAATCAACTTAGGTGTAATGTTGGGTTGCGTCGTCAAATTTGAAGGCGATTTTGTTTCTAGAGAACCAGTCTCACCGTGCCGCGACGCTTGGAACGGCATGCCGTTCCAAGCGTCGATCGTCATTCTTGTTTTGCGATGAGGGAGGATTTGTAGGTTGGGGATAAAAAATATGCTTTCGTGCGAAGGAATAACGCCTTATGAACTTTCTGCTGTTGCAAAATGTACGTTGAAAAAAAACACTGTTTTCTAGCAGGATTTTGGATATTTGCCTCGCAATTTCTTAGAGAAGTTTGTACGCAATTTCATTTGGAACATCCGAAACGTTTAAAGAAAACTATTCATATATTTCCCTGAGAACAGTACTTTTCGAGAGACAGTTGGACAAATGCTCATGTACATACGGCGTTTGTCCTTTGCATGATTGTGTATGTCTGTCAATTTCTCAATAATTCCTCAAATAGGAATAATAGGAAAAATTATATAGTAATAGGTTTCCAGGATCCGTAGAAACGTTCAAAATACAGATGATCTTGAACTGTTGCTGAAAAATTCATACAAGGTAAGTTCCACCAGAATTTTTTAATGCATTACTGTTGTGTTTAAAAGCACGCAAAAAATCAGGGAGATGGGCTATAAAATGGGGATTAAAAGAAAAATAACTGGTGGTTGCAAAACTTTCAGAATAAACATGGTGGTAAAACAGTGACTACATTATTTTGCAGGAAAAAAACAAAGCCAGAAAGTTCAAAAATGCCAAACAGAGTCAAAAATGTTGAACTCTCATGAATATCAATGAAGAGTGTTCAGCTTACGCAGTTCCATTGGAATATTAAGCTGGGGTCATGCCGAGAGAGCTATAACGTTTTGGGTTTTTTT